AGCCAAATTGTTGGGTTATAATTACACGATTACTTTTAAATCTGGTAAGTCGAACGCTGCCGCTGATGGTCTCTCACGAAAGTTTGAAGGGGATGTTGGATTCCCCATAGCTCACCTCACCGCCCTCACAGCGCCTCACTCAGATTATTCTTCATTATTACAGTCAGAGTTACAACAGGATCCCTACACTTCTACAATTATTAAAGGGTTACAGTCATCCACAAATAAAAACCCACATTGGGAACAAAAAAATGGGCTACTTCTACATAGAGGGAGAGTCTTCTTGCCAACTGGATCCGCAATGATTCCCAGACTCTTGGTTGAATTTCATTGTTCTCCAATCGGTGGCCACGCTGGAATACATAGGACCTTATCTCGCCTCTGCACTTTTTACACATGGAAAAATGTCAGAAAAGATGTTCAAAAATTTATCCAGCAGTGCGATACATGTCAAAAGGTTAAACCTGACAATCACTCACCTTATGGGTTGCTTCAGCCTCTGCAACCACCTGCAGCAATCTGGTCCGAGCTATCTTTAGATTTCATCACGCATCTTCCTCTTGTTAACGGTTTCTCAGTGATACTGGTGGTAGTGGATCGACTCACTAAGGGTGCCCATTTCATTCCCCTCCCGACCCGTTACACAGCTGCTAAGGTAGCACAGGCGTTCTGGGACTCCGTTGGCAAACTCCATGGCACGCCGAAGAGCTTACTATCTGACAGGGACCCATTATTTTTGAGCACTTTCTGGAAATCGTTGTTTCAGCTACAGGGAACGCAACTCCACTTCAGTTCAGCATACCACCCTCAAACAGACGGCCAAACAGAAAGGGTTAATAGAACATTAGAGCAATATCTCAGAGCTTTTGTGCATGACAAACCGAAAGAGTGGATTAAGATGTTACCTCTGGCGGAGTACCATTATAACACAACTTACAACAGAAGCATCGGGCTATCACCCTATGAAGCCACCTATGGCAGACCCCCACCATGCCCTCTTCGCTACTCTCTGGGATTATCCGCCTTGGAAGCTGTTGACTCAACCTTAGCTGAACGCACCTCGGTCCTGCAGAAGTTACGAGACAACCTGAGGCGAGCACAACAAACAATGAAACGTGAAGCTGATAAAAGGAGAACAGATCGAACCTTTAGTGTTGGAGACTTGGTCCTTTTGCGACTGCAACCTTACCGACAACTATCCCTTCACCGTCGTTCTTGTCAGAAGCTGGCACCGCGCTTTTTTGGCCCCTTTACGATACTGGAACGCATCGGACCCGTGGCTTATCGCCTCCTTCTCCCTCCGGAAACAAAGATCCACCCAGTGTTTCATGTCTCACTTCTACGACCCTACTTCCCTGGAACGGAGTCATCTAAGACAACATTTCCACCTCTGCCATCCTCATCTGAAATACATCACAAACCATTAGCTATTGTGTCAACAAGGACCATTTGGCGCCAAGGTAGACAGACCCAACAAGTGCTAGTTCAATGGTCCGACTTACCTCCAGATGTGGCAACTTGGGAAGACGAAACCGAGGTACAACTACCTCTGCCCAGCTCTGACATCACCGACAAAAGGGAACCTTGCGATGTGTTTACCCAACCAGAGGGCGTGGTCCCTGACATCTCTATAAAGTGGAAGGAAAATCAAAACGAATTGATTATAGAAAATGGACGAATGGGAGTGAAAGGGGACACTCAGGAAATGGGTGATAACCCACTTGCGGTGTTTGACGGAAATACAAAGCTGAAAGAGAAGTGGGCAAATGTGTATAATACAGGAAGAGCAAATGAAAAGCATTATTGTGAATCCAATGGGCAAGTGATGGGACAAGACTCCTCAGACCCCTCTTTTGGAGACTGTTCGAGTAAGCAACAGAGCGTGAGTCTCGAGACTGACACCCCTGCTCCCAAAAACGTGTCTCAGCCAGCTTTCATTGCACCTTTTACATCCACCACTCAAAATGAGGCAGCCACATTTTCGACCAATCAGTGTCTGTCTTGTGGGATTACATTATCTCCTTATGGATCTTTCCCACCGCCAACAGGAGCCGTTGCTAGTTCGCCCTCCAACTCAATCAGTGCCACTCGTCGCACTCAAGATTTGATCAGCCCAAATTTAGTGGACCTTGCGGACAAGGTCACCTTTGAAGGGGGAGGCAGTGTAGCGGGCTTAAGAGGAACCAGACCCAAAAGGAAGGTGCAGAAGCCCAAATACTTGGAGGAGTATGAGATGGAAGTCAGGAAGCCCACTCCTTGATTCCAGTAGCAATTAGTTGTTTATTTGAAATCTAGTTATCTGATTAATGGTTTAGCTTATTTTACGGGTTGTTATCTTCTTGGCTTATCTGGTTGTTTTCTTTCCGTGGAAGTAGTATAGGATTAGGATTCTGCTTGATTTTATTATCTCTAGTGTTAGTTGCTGATTGCTTTAATTTCCTATATAATTCAGAAAATGAATTGAATAAACATGATTTATTTGATTCCCAAATTCTCTCTTAATTTTTCTCTCCCTTCTCTATTCGCTGCTTCTTTCCTTTCTCCACGATCTCTTCTTAAATTTACTTCCTTCACAACACAACTACTGCTCCATTTTCATTGGATTGCCACACCCAATCAATAGTGCGGTAGCACAATAGAAATTTCGGTCTATATGCTACATTATACATCATTAGCCGTGCCCATATGACTTCTCCTATACTAGTTTAACTAAATTATTGTACTTTCAAGGATTCTGACATGTAATAAGGGCACATAATCATATAGAAGTGCTATGGCCAACAGAAAAAAAAAGTATTAGAGAAGTGATTAGAGCAGGTTTAATAAATTAGCTCTAAAAGATTAGTCTCTTACTCCCCCACTATTGTAGTTAGGCACTAATAGTTCAAGTAATCGACTTAGCAAATGTTTGGAAATGTTACGAAAGAGCCAAAATCCTTTTGTTATATATTCTTTTTTTGAAAAGCAAAAAAAAAGAAAAAAGAATATATAACAAAAGGATTTTGGCTCTTTCGTAACATTTCCAAACATTTTGGCTCTTTTGTTATATATTCTTACTTGAGGAGATTACACAATTTTTTTTTGAAGAATTCAATTTGGAAAGACTATAAATGTAATCTTTTTATATTATTATTTAATATTGTAATGACATTTTATTTAGTATATAGAGCCTGTTTTGCACATATCTTTTTTAAGCTAAAACATACTTTTCAGCTAAAGTTAAAATAAATATTTTAAAAATAAAGCTAAAAAAAGCACATTAAAAGATAATACACATAACATGAAACAAAATAAATAAAGTTGAAAGATGTTTTGAGGAATATATAATTTGTATTTAATACACATTAATGAATAATACAAATAGAACAACATAATATAAGTGATTGGGTTGTAATATAATTTTGTGTGTTGTTAGGCAATTGATAACCAATGCAAGGGATTAAATTTTTTATGACATTCATAAATAAAATATCACAAAATTTATTATAATTTTTTTTTTTTTTTACATTTTTTGCGTACAATAAAGTTAAGATAATGAAACTAGAGTGATTATTAATTTTACTTGACTTTTTATAAATTTTTGTACCGACCTTAATTATTTCTTTGAGACGAGTTAATACTTTGAGTATTTTCAATTTTTTATAAACTTTAATTCTTTGAACGAACTTAGTTACCATTAAAGCTCTTTCCCCTTTCAAAAATATATTTAGTGGGAATTGAACTTAAATTCTTTTCCATCCTTATATTATTAACTAAGGTACACCCATTAAATTTATTTTCTATATTGTGCACAAGATCTATGTAACAAATATTCCAATAACTCACTGACCGCTTATGCTAATAATTTCTCTTGGAGTGTTGAGCTCTTGGATCTTCCTCCTCAGGAGTACATGCATCAGTTGCAGAGTGAGAATTCACTAGTCCAGACTTTGTGCTTAGTTTAGTTTGTTTCTTTCTGTTTTGCTGTTTTTTCTTTTCATCTCGGGTAAAAAAAAAGAAAAAAGAACTCCAATAACTGCTCTCTCTTTATTATCTTAACTCTTTGGATCTCATTTATAGAGTTGTACAAAGCGACGCATACATTTAGTTACCGTACATACATCAAAATTCGATTTTTTTTTTTTCCCCATACATATGGACCTCGTATGTTTATCTATCTCTGACATAAGAGACCGAAATCTCTTGCAAGAGGAGAGTCATTCAACCCTTTATTTAATTCAGTTTCATATTATTGATTAAGGAGAATTTATTTATGCAATTATGGTATAAACAATTTTTCTGCCACATACATAAAAAAAAAGAGTGAGGTCCATCAAATTTTCCTCTCATTTTTTTTTGTTTTTGATAAACTTCTCTCATTTCTTTATAATTTCTTTCTCTCTCATTTTTGTGTCAATGACAAACAAACTATTATTTCTTTTTGTAGTTTTCCCATTGATTAACCACGTACATTTTACAAACGTGCTTTCACCATCTTAAAGCTTACAGGGCCTTTTTTTTTTTTTAATTCGATAGCATTTTGATAAGTTTTTATTTTGTCAATCCTAATGTACCGCTTAGCTTACTTTTTATATGTGGATTAAGGTTTCAACAATAGGTTTGACAAATTCATAATAAATCAGAAATTAATATACATTATTAATTAACAAATTATAATCATTAACAGGTGTGTAGAGTTACACTTGTAGTTAATTCATTGATGAGAAATATGAAATAGAATAGAATTGACAAAGTAAAACTGTCTCTTACAAAGCAGGGGACACAATAACGTATGTAACAGTCACAAATTCACAAGTTCCCTTCCTACCCGCCGTGGTTGCCACTTGTTAGTTATTGTTAACAACACCACCACATTCTTCTCTTCATTCCCTTGTTACTTGTTTTGTTACCCATTCAACCACATACACACTCTCTCTTTCTCTCTCTCACACACACTCCTCTCTCTCCTTCTTCTTATTCTGAATTCATTTTTTCTCTGTGATTGATTTGATTGAGTGACAATGACGGACACCACTGACGATATAGCAGAGGAAATCTCCTTCCAGAGCTATGATGATGACTGTAGATTGCTTGGCAATCTTCTCAACGACGTTTTGCAGCGAGAAGTTGGCACCATTTTCGTTGAGAAACTCGAAAAAATTAGAGTCCTCGCACAGGTTTTGCTTTTTCTTCAAGACCCAGTTTTTTTTTTTTCTTAAATGGGTATTGCTTGCTTTGCTTGTTCATAGAATACTCACCCTTGTCAATGATTTTTTAACGTTGATTTTCTGTTTTTTCATTGATGGGGTTTATTTGTTTTTATTTTATTTTTGTTCTTTTCGTTGTGGTTTCTTCACTGTTTTCTGCTTGATTGGTTGCTGAGAAAATGGACTGAGAAAACAGATGGTTGAAACAGGACATGTTAGTGTTTCATGATGCATGCATGCATGTGCGGGACTGCGGGGGTTATGTGATAAACAAAGACTCAAATGTTACGATGGGATTGAACTAATCCATTATGATTGGATTGGGCTCTTTGTAGTTTCTGGGTTCCTTAGGCTACGAAATCTTCAATATTCCTTGTTAAAATGTGGAAATGTAATTGCTTCGTGTTACATTTGAATACCAAGTTGCAAGAAGCGAGGTTAAAAAAATAGGATGTGAAAACTCCTTAACACTTAATTTTGCTTATTTTAATTTTAATTTTTTTTAATTTTTTTTCCCAGAGTGCTTGTAATATGAGACACTCAGGGATTGAGGACATGGCAGAGATGCTAGAGAAGCAGTTGGCTTCAGAGTTATCGAAGATGACATTAGAAGAAGCTCTGATCCTTGCTCGAGCCTTCAGCCATTATCTTACTTTGACGGGTATAGCTGAAACCCATCATAGGTAATTGAGTCCTATATTCTATTAGTTGATAATTTATCTTTCTCATTCTTTGATTATTATGAAAATCAGAACATGGAGACTAGTGAGTAACAACTTTGAGGGAATACTATATACTTTTTTCTAAATCCATTCTTGCCTCGGTAGGGTAGTGTTTCATACAAATTGCATTTGTGCAGGGTTCGTAAAGCAGGAAATATGGCACATTTTGCAAAATCTTGTGATGACATCTTTGGCCAGCTGGTGCAAGGTGGAGTTTCCCCAGATGAGCTTTATAATGCAGTTTGCAAGCAGGTCTGTTTTGAGTTTGTCAATCTGTATAGCCTGAGAAGTGTGGATGAAAATAAATAAATAAATAGCCTTTCATTATCATTAGAACGATTTTTGGATTTCAAAAAATTGTGGAATGCACTCATCGGGCTAAGATTAAAATCCTTAATTATTTGCTTTCTGGACAAATATTTTCTTATTAATTTAGTGAAGCATTATGTTCTTATTACTGGTGATTTGCTTAGTAATCTGGTTCCATTTTCTTTTAGAATTCAAAATCAAATTTTATTTTTGTTGCCACAGGTGGTTGAAATTGTTCTTACAGCTCATCCCACACAAATTAATCGCCGTACATTGCAATACAAACACATTAAAATTGCTGTGAGTTATTTTCTTTTTCTCCAATTAAATCTTTTTTGTGTTGAGATATTCAAGTGTGATGAGTCCCACATTGGTTGGTAATGAGCTAAGTGAAGAGTATATAAGTGAAAAGATCCATGAACCCAATGCCTTAAGGTTTTGGGTTGAGACATGGTGTCGGATCCACTTGCTACGGTTGGTGTAGCCTTAGCTCATTGGTGGTGGCCCCCGCCACGGGCTTCCCCTGGACCCGCTTGACAATGGAGTTTGAGGAACGAATTTCCCAACAGTGGTATCAGAGCCGGATTGGGCTCGAGCTAGCCTAGTGATTGGCTAGGAGGCGGGTCGAGTACTTTGCGCTTCGGGTACTCGGTTGAGGGGGAGCATACCAATGGTGAGTTTCACACTTGAGAGGGAGATTGTTGAGATATTCAAGTGTGATGAGTCCCACATTGGTTGGTAATGAGCTAAGTGAAGAGTATATAAGTGAAAAGAACCCAATGCCTTAAGGTTTTGGGTTGAGACATGGTGTCGGATCCACTTGCTACGATTGGTGTAGCCTTAGCTCATTGGTGGTGGCCCCCGCCACGGACTTCCTCTGGACCCGCTTGACATTGGAGTTTGAGGGAACGAATTTCCCAACATTTTGGTCTTAATAACATTGCTGGAGGCTTGAGTTGTGGACATTAAATCTCAAATATCATATAAGCATTTTGTCTCTAACTACTTTTTCCCCTTCATGCAGCATCTTTTGGATTATAATGATCGACCTGATCTTGGCCCTGAAGATCGAGAAATGGTGATTGAAGATCTGGTACAATTCCTGATCTGTATTTCCACTCTAGTGAACTATTGTGGTGTTTGTACCAAAAAAAATAAAATAATCCACTATAAAGTTTTCATGGGTGGAAATTATATCTATAACTTGAAATGGGTAGTGCAGTTCCTTCTTCTTGCACACTTCGTTCCATTCTCATAAATCATAGTGGGTTTGGTAGGTGAGAGAGATAACTTCAATATGGCAGACAGACGAGCTTAGGCGTGAGAAACCCACCCCAGTTGATGAAGCTAGGGCTGGTAAGCTGCTTGAGTATTATATGTTAGATATAGCACCATTCAAACCCTTCACCATGGCTTAAGTTCTTAGAAGAGATGTTGCATGAGAAATCGTTTTTAGCCCTTTACAAGTTATAACCAAGTGGTTAAGAGTTTGGTTCTTGTTATCCCATTCTTTTAATAAAAAGTTAAATTTTAGTAAAAGATAAAATATGCCTACATTGTCCACACTTCAAGCTTGAAAAGCTTTTGCATGAACACCGAATAACTTAATCTTTTAAGGTGAGCTGGTCTTTGTCATTATATATGTCAGCTCTTGCATGATTTGGTTCACTGTTCAAATAAAAAAGCGGAAGAACCCGTTAGTTTATTTTTGAATTCTCCCAGGATTGAATATTGTGGAGCAATCACTCTGGAAAGCTGTTCCTCATTATTTACGTCGAGTCAGCAATGCTTTAAAGAAGGTTTGTCATCTTTAATTTATGTCAATTAACTTGAAGATTCTTTCCCTTTAAGATTTTCAATGCAATTTATCCTTCCTTGCAGCATACAGGAAAACCACTTCCATTGACTTGCACTCCCATAAAGTTTGGATCTTGGATGGGAGGTGATAGAGATGGAAATCCAAATGTGACAGCAAAGGTAGCTTTTTAAATATGCATTAAGCTGCCCATAATTTTCTATGTGACTTTGTATTTTAAAAAAACTGCAGGAGTCTTTTTCAACGAGTGAGGAGTTTTTAGTAGTGGATGCATGATTGAATGTGTAATAGCATTATATTATTGACAATCTAAACAAGTGTTGTGTCTGTCATTTTGGAAAGCACAAGCTTAATGATGATTGGACAGGGGAAATGTAGACAAAAATAAATGAGCTATTAATATGTAAAATATTTCTTAGAATAATTTTCTTTTTATAGTTTTCTTGGAACTTTGTCGATGTCTACTTTATTTTTTTTTGTCAAATTTTACGTTTTCGGCCTCAAACTGGTTCAAATATTGAAGTCTGTTGCCTGTGATTCAAACATATCATTGAATTGCCAGAATATTTCCGTCTTACGTAGGAGTGCTATTTTCTTCTTGTAGAATATTTCTTTTACTGATTTTGATATTGTTGCTGTACATAGTATAGAAGTCCCACATTGAGTGTGTCTCTTTGTATTCTTCAATTGGTTTGCTATATAATAGCACCAATGTTGTATAGTTTAATATAACAAGGATTACAATGAATACCTCTTGTCTCTTGGTAATTAACATGGTATCTAGAGCCTAACAAGAGGAATCCTAATCGGCGGTTTTTCGGTGAACCACTGTCCGCTGAGTAATATTTTTTTTTTCTGGAAACCGTCACATCTGTCAGTTTCCGGCTTCCCTATTTTGTTTCCGACCTTGTCTGAGTACTGCCGCTGTCCAGAACCACCGTTGACCGCCGCCTCCGCCGTTGACCACCGTTGACCACCGTCTCCGGCGACTTTTCCGGCGAAACTCCCATCGATCTGACCGCCACAACAAGGCGGTCCTGTCTGTCCAACACCCATCTCCAACCCCTCAGCCACGCGCCCACACGCGCGGGAGGAAGCTTCTGCCATCCGCTTCATTGCAGCGGCGCGTGCAGCTCCGGCTGGACCTCCGACCACCACGGTTCAACTCGTCTTCTCCTTGTGCACCTGGATCTATCCTCACTTTGTTGTTCTGACTTCGTTTCGGCTTCCGACAGTGTCTCTTTCTCTTGCTGGTCCCTATTCACGCGTGTTTCTTTGCTTTTGGTTGCTGTTCGCTTTTGTTTCAGGTGATCTATGGCTGATTTGTCACCCCACGATGCATCCAAGGGTTCTCAAAAGGCTGACCCGCCTGTTTTTTCTAATTATATTAATGTTCCGCTGCACGTTGACAAGTTGGATGGCTCCAATTATGATTCTTGGGCTTCTGATCTCCGACTTTGGCTTGATGGACAGGACTAGACTGACCATCTCATTACTAAGGCTGAGTCCATCTCGGTAGATGTACGCCCTCATTGGAAAAAGGTTGATGCTCAGTTATGTAGCACAATCAAGTCTACCATCCACTCGTTCTAGAAGCAGATTTTTCGTGCTCACGTTACTTGTGAATCTGTTTGGCGTCAGGCCAAGTCACTTTATACCAATGACACTCAGCGACTCTATGGGGTTTGTCAAAATTTGATCACTACTATTGCTGCTCAACAACTTGATGTCTCTATGTCTGCTTACTTGGGAAAAGTTCAGGGCCTCCTTCATGATTTCAATGAACTGTTGCCACCTGCTGCAGATCCTGCTAAAGAACTTGAGCAACGCAGCACGTTCTTCATGCTCATGGCTCTTTATGGTTTGCCCCCGGCATATTCTGTCAACCGGGATCAGATCTTGGGCTCTACTATTGTTCCATCGCTGGACTCTGTTTGGTCTACGTTGCTTCGCATTCCATCTAAGACTTCTATGGAGCCTGCAATATCTGCTCCCTCTTCAATTGACCCATCTGCCCTTGTCTCCAAGGGTTTTGCACGTGGACGCAAACCCTCTACGAGACGCTTTCTCTGCACTCATTGCAAAAAGCCGGGCCATACTATTGATCGTTGCTGGGATCTTCACGGTCGCCCTCCTCGCTCCGCTCATTTTGCTCAGACTACTGTTCCTGCCTCGGACTCTGCCTTGATTGCTGGATCACAGCCACCTCCTGGTACCACTTCCTCTAGTGCACACACGGGTAATTCCTTTGCTGGTGTTTCTCACTCGCCCTCTCTTGGTCCATGGATTCTCGATTCTGGTGCATCTGACCATATTTCTGGTAATAAGTCTTTATTTACCTCTCTCTGTACGTCTGGTTCCCTGCCCAGTATCACTATGGCTAATGGGTCACTAGTTCAGTCCCATGGGATTGGCACCGTTCTCCTTTTTCCTTCTATTCCCATTGAGAATGTGCTTTATGTTCCTCATTCTCCTTTCAACCTTATTTCCATTAGTCGCTTGACTCAATCCCTTGACTGTATTATTTCTTTCACTAAAGAGTCTGTCATTTTGCAGGATCGAAGCTCGAGGAGGACACTTGGCGTCGGATCTGAGTCCAATGGCCTTTATCAGCTTTCAACTTCTGTTTCAGTGTGCTCTGTTGTGGATTCTCCGCTTACTATTCACGCTCAGTTGGATCATCCAAATCTTGCTAAGCTCCAGAAGATGGTCCCACGTTTCTCAAATTTATCTAGTTTGTCTTGTGAGTCGTGTTAGTTAGGGAAGCACACTCGTAGTTCGTTTCCCGATCGTGTCAGTCGTCGGTCTTCGTCTCCTTTTGCTTTAGTTCATTCAGATATTTGGGGTCCTAGTCGTACCGTTTCCACTATGGGGTACAGATATTTTGTAACTTTCATTGATGATTATTCTCGATGTACTTGGTTATTTCTAATGAAAAATCGGTCTGAATTGTTTTCTACTTTTAACAAGTTCTTTAATGAAATCCTTACTCAATTTGGTGTTTCGATTCGCATTTTTCGAAGTGATAATGCTCGTGAATATTTGTCTCATCAGTTTCAAACCTTCTTTGCATCTCACGGCATCCTTCACCAGACATCATGTTCACACACCCCTCCACAGAATGGGGTTGCTGAACGCAAGAACCGTCACCTAATTGAGACTACTCGGACACTTTTGTTACATGTTCATATCCCATTCCAGTATTGGGGCGATGCTGTCCTCACAGCTTGTTATCTCATTAATCGGATGCCTTCCTCCGTCCTTCATAATCAGGTACCACATTCTGTGTTGTTTCCCCATCAACCTTTGTACCCACTCACTCCTCACATCTTTGGTTCTACTTGTTTTGTCCACAATCTCAGTCCTGGTCTTGACAAGTTATCTGCTAAGTCACATAAATGTATTTTCCTGGGTTACCCTCGCTCACAAAAGGGTTATTGTTGTTATTCTCCTAGTCTTCGTCATTACTTTGTCTCGGCGGATGTTACATTCTTTGAGTCTATTCCATTCTTTGACTCCTCCTCTCATCCCAGTGATTCTGTTGCTACTCAGCTACCTTTACCACCTATTTCAGTTCACTATATACCTTCACCATCTCCTTCTTTAGATGTCCCCGTCGCTGTTCCCGCCCCTGTTCCCCCCTCCAGGTCTATCATCGTCGGCAACGTCCCCCTGTTCCCCAGGACCCTGCCCCCCTCGAGTCTGCCCCTATTGTTACTGAGGCTCCTGTGGACTCACTTCCGTCATCATCTCCTCCGGCAGCTCCGATTCTTCCGTCTGACATTGATGTGTCCATTGCACTCCGGAAAGGTACTCGTGATTCTCGTCCCCCCTCCCAGGTATTTAATAAATTTGAGTTATCATCGTCTTTCACCATCCCATTTTGCTTGCCTCTCTTCTCTTTCTTCTGTATCTGTTCCTAAGACTATAGGTGAGGCGTTATCACATTCTGATTGGCGACAGGCCATGATTGATGAGATGAGTGCACTTCAGAGTAGTGGTACCTGGGATCTGGTTCCCCTTCCCTCTGGGAAGTCTGTTGTTGGCTGTCGATGGATATACACGGTTAAAGTTGGTCCGGATGGTCAGGTGGACCGTCTTAAGGCCCGCTTGGTGGCTAAAGGTTATACTCAGATATTTGGCCTTGACTATGGTGACACATTTTCTCCCGTGGGGAAAATGACTTCTGTTCGCCTCTTTATTACTATGGTAGCCATTCATCACTGGCCTATGTATCAGCTGGACATAAAGAATGTTTTCCTCCATGGTGATATGCGGGAAGAGGTTTATATGGAGCAACCTCCTGGGTTTGTTGCTCAGGGGGAGTCTAACCTAATTTGTCGTCTCCGAAGAGCCTTGTATGGTCTAAAGCAGTCTCCCCGGGCTTGGTTTGGAAGGTTTAGCACTGTTGTACAGCAGTTTGGCATGACTCGAAGTGAGGCTGATCACTCAGTCTTTTACAGACACTCTGATTCAGGTTCTATTTATTTGGTAGTATATGTTGATGATATCGTCATTACAGGTAATGATACTCATGGCATAACTCAGATAAAACAACATTTGTGCCATCATTTTCAAACAAAGGACCTTGGAAGACTCCGATATTTCTTAGGGATAGAAGTGGCCCAATCCAAAGATGGCATTGTACTATCACAGAGAAAATATGCTATGGATATTCTTGAGGAAACAGCTTTGTTAAATGCTAAGCCCGTTGATACTCCTATGGATCCAAATGTCAAGCTTTTACCAAATCAGGGGGAGCTATTTTCTGATCCAGAAAGGTATAGAAGATTGGTTGGAAAACTGAACTATCTCACAGTTACTCGACCAGACATTTCCTTTGCAGTCAGTGTAGTAAGTCAGTTCTTGAATTTTCCCTGTGAAGATCACTGGAATGCAGTAATCCGTATCCTCAAGTACATTAAGACTGCTCCTGGCAAAGGTCTTCTCTATGAAAACAAAGGTCATACCAGAGTTGTAGGATACTCAGATGCTGATTGGGCAGGTTCTCCTATTGATAGAAGATCCACTTCTGGGTATTGTGTATTCGTTGGAGATAACTTGATTTCCTGGAGAAGTAAGAAGCAAAGTGTAGTTGCTAGATCAAGTGCTGAAGCAGAATATCGCTCCATGGCCACAGCTACCTGTGAACTCATCTGGTTAAAACAGCTACTGAAGGAACTCAAGTTTGGAGACACTGGCCCAACATCTCTCATTTGTGATAATCAAGCTGCTTTGCATATTGCTTCAAATCCAGTGTTTCATGAAAGGACTAAGCACATTGAGATAGATTGTCATTTCCTTAGGGAAAAGGTTCTCTTAGGAGATATAGTCACTCGTTTTGTCAACTCAAATGATCAATTAGCTGATGTATTTACTAAGTCTTTGAGAGGACCTAGAATAGACCAGATATGTAACAAGCTTGGTGCATACGATCTATATGCTCCAGCTTGAGGGGGAGTGTTGCTGTACATAGTATAGAAGTCCCACATTGAGTGTGTCTCTTTGTATTCTTCAATTGGTTTGCTATATAATAGCACCAATGTTGTGTAGTTTAATATAACAAGGATTACAATGAATACCTCTTGTCTCTTGGTAATTAACAGATATGATCCTATAAATTATGATAGATATTATAATTCTATAATTGGTTTTCCTTTTGTTCTTCAGGTCACAAAAGATGTTTCACTTCTGTCAAGATGGATGGCGATTGACCTCTATGTTCGGGAACTGGAAAGCTTGAGATTTGAGTTATCCATGAATCGGTGCAGTGATAAGTTGTCTAGACTGGCACATGAAATTCTAGAAGGTTTGTTAGTTGAATTTTGTATTTGGTGATATCTTCCAAATGCTAATGGACGTAGCAGTCATCCTTGTTTTATATCATGTGACTACTGAATACTGTTTGTCAAGAAGTAGCACAGGATTGCTCACCGGCAAATTAAAAGTTGAAACTATTATAAGACAGTAAATTTGAATTTTTTTACCTTATTTTGTTAGATTATCATACGAACTTGATTGTCCTTTTTAAAGCCTGACTATTATTATGCCATTGTTTAAATGGGTGGCGATATTCTGCTATACATATTTACTCTTGTTTCTTTGGTAATGCAATTGATCCCTGTCTGGTCTTTATTATGCATTACTCCTTTGGTGCATTGAGGTATTTTCCTCTTGGTTTGGAATTGCCTTTAAAATTATGCTGGTAGATACCTTTTCTGGCCATGCTAATAACTCAAACTTGCCAAAATTTACAAGTTTGTGTGTGTGTGTTTTCCCCTTCTCATTTTCTCTTTTTCCAATGACATCAGCCTGTTGACATTTACGTTCAATCCACTCTCTCAAATCTCGTCCAAATTAAAAATGAGATTGACTCTAATTGCTTATGTGTGTGGTAAAAACTTGAGAGCTTATTTTGTATGTTTTCCTGGGAATGTTTTCTAAAGGTTTTGTAAAGAGCCAATTCAACCCAAAAGCTTAAGTTGTTGGGTGAGGTTACATCAATGGTTTTATATATCTTTAACACGCCCTGTCACACGAGAGTCCATTGGGCTCGAAGGGTGGACAATGCATTGGCCCGACTACCTGTGCTAAGAAAATTCTACGAGAGAAAGTGGGGAGGGAAGTGAGGATCTGATACCATGTAAAGAACTAATTCAACCAAAAAACTTAAGTTGTTGGGTGAGGTTCCATCAATGGTTTTATATATTTCTAAGAGGTTTTATATAATGGGACAGCAATACCTGCTTTTACAAATGATAATTTCCTTCTAGTACAACTATTGTTTGCAGAACATATTTCAAACTTCAATATGAATCAGACTGTAACATAGGTATGATGTGATATTTGATGATGCAGTGGATTTGAATGGTATTCTGTTTACAATTCTATTTATGCACTTTTAATGTCTTTACATGATCAGCTACGGATATTTCTGTATGTAGTGTTATTCTGTATTATGGTTTGTCACTGTTATATCCTCAAAGATATGTTTGATAGTCATTTAATCCACTTTTAAGAGTTGATGATCACTTTTTTCTCTTCAGAAGCTAACCATGAGAATGACCATGAGCATTGGAATCAATCTGCGAGCAGAATTCAATTGAAACATCATGATCAACAAGCTTCATCACTCCCAACTAAACTCCCAGCAAGAGCTCATTTACCCTCATGTGCTGGTACACATAACTTTGATCTAAATTGCTGTCTAGTTATTTGCTTGCATATCATATGATTTTAATGGCAATGGCAATTTTTTTCCTCTAGAACCACACAAAAAGATTTACTTTTCTTTATGTGGCTCCTATCTACAATATTCTTTAAGGGATGTCCCTGCTGATTGCATGAAGAATGAATTGCAATACCACCAATCCTTATAATAACTTCTTTTTCCTCATGCTCGAGGAATGAGGTGCAATTTTATTCATATGCTGACACATTACAAGAAATCCCTGCCTCTTCCCTTCCCAGGCTGATATTTATCAAGAAAAACTCATCCTTTATCCATTCTGCTACTTATTTCTTTGGATATATGTAAATCTTGCCTCAATCAAGTATAAATAATTATCTATTACAAAGTTTCTGTATTAATATATTCTTTCACGTAGGAAAAAGTGAATCTGAGCATCCCAGACTAGACATCCCGGGACGTGATCACAAGCAACTCAATAATTACAAGGTAGATCAAATCAGTAATTGTAGGATTTTAAATTTACCATTGAATTCTAGGTAATATATATGTGTACACATTTTCACTGATAGGATGGTGAGAATTCAAGTTCAGCTACAAGCAATGGCAGTCACAATGGGCGTTCATCACTAACAAGTTCAGCAAATTCCAGTGCTTCATCAGTTGCAATGTCACGCTCTCCTTCTTTCAACTCTAGTCAACTACTTGCTCAGAGGAAATTGTTTGCAGAATCCCAGATAGGAAGGTCCAGTTTTCAGAAGCTTTTGGAGCCAAAGCTCCCTCAGCGTCCTGGAATTGCTCCTTATAGAGTTGTCCTCGGGAATGTAAAAGATAAGGTATCATTTCTGATTTACTTAAGTAATACTTCAAAGTTGCCTGTATGAATCACTGGTATTCAAGTTTGGCTGCTTGTACTTTGTATAAGTTATGTATGTTGCTTATTTCCTGGACGTTATTAGCTATATTACCCTGGCATATGCTGATATGCTAGTTTTTTCCTGTGCATGTTCTATGAAAGCTTTAAATGAATCTCGCAGACAATAGTTTGAAAAATGAAATAACTGATATTGGATATTAGTTTTTGGGATGGATGCGAGGACAAGTTTTAGAAGTGGAGTTGCATGAAAAACAATTATGAAAGATAGTAAATCCAAAATATTCTCCAAGTAACTGGACAATCTAACATCATTGCTCTTTTCTTTAGCTATTCATGTGGTTAGCTTAATTTTTTCTTTAAAGGAAAAAGACAGGTTGTTTTAAATTCAATGGGACTAACCATTAAGGAATGATACTATTGCATAGAATGTTGCGGCAAACAAAGCTTTATAAGATTAATTTCAACATAGATTGATATTTTCTCTATTATTTATAGATAAAGATTGAAGGACTTTTGAACTTGAGTCTTGACATTACTCATTAGAGATTCGATTGCCAAATGTCTCTATGTAGAATGACAGTGTACAGACCAATGAATCATTAGTTTATATGCATTAATAGGAGCTCTACTATACATGGTGAAAGCCAATTGATTTCTGGTCATAGGCTTTCAAATATTCTTGAGATCAAGCCTATTGCTTTCTTCCAAGGCTTTCAAAAGGCTGATGCGCATATAGTACATGTATGATAGGAAATATGTATTTGCCCAATTTTGATTGGAACCACTGAAGGATGTTTTTCTGCATGTTTTTATAGAACTTATTGGTTTTCTATATTTTCCCATTATTTGGCAATTTTATATCCTCAATCTATGGTAAGATAATTAATTTGCGCATCTTCTGTTCCATGTGTTTAGCTTCAGAGAACTCGTAGACGGTTGGAGCTTCTTCTTGAGGATGGTCCATGTGAACATGATCCTTGTGATTACTATGAAACAACTGATCAGCTTTTGGAACCTCTGCTCCTCTGTTATGAATCTCTGGTACTCTTTCTCCTGCTTTTACCCTTCTTCTCTCCAAGGTTGTCCAGAATTTTTATTTAGCTCTCCATTTCTTCAGCAATCATGTGGATCTGGGGTGCTAGCTGATGGTCGACTTGCTGATCTGATTCGAAGAGTTGTTACCTTTGGCCTGGTGTTAATGAAGCTTGACTTGCGTCAGGTCTGATTTAAATTTTTCTACTCATTATTGCTTGGATAATCAGTTGTGGCCTGAAACTATCTGTGTGACAGGAATCAATAAGACATGCTGAAACACTTGATGCAATTACAAGTTATTTGGAGATGGGTACATACAGTGAATGGGATGAAGAAAAGAAACTGGACTTCTTAACCAGAGAGCTAAAAGGGAAGAGGCCACTGGTTCCTCCAAGTATAGAGGTGAGATGGTTAGAGTTTATACTAAGCACCAGTTTTGTAAGTTCTGTATCTAGTTGGATGGGAAAGTTTTTTATTTTAGAAAATTGTTAAAAGGATAGATGTTTGGGAAAATTAGTTGGCACACCACAACAAAGCATATGGACTACGTCTCAACCTAAAACTTTAAGGCATTGGATTCATGGGTCTTTTTACATATATGGTTTTCACTTTTCCCAATACCAACCGATGCAAGATTCCATTACGCTTGAATATGCCAACAAATACGGGTGCAAGACTCATATTTATATTAAGTGCATTAGGCTAGTAGTAAAGATATAGTTCAATATATAGTGCAGAGGACACAAATCCACTCTGCACATTATCATGTGCATAATACACTTAATTCCCCCTCAAGTTGAATTATAGATGTTAATCATACCCAACTTGTTACAAAGATACCCAATCCTTGTCATCTAATTGTTTTCCAGTTCTAACATGTTCCGTAGATGCAAGTCTGCAAAATCTTTTCCCAAGGCGATTAAATCTATTTTTATGTATTTTGGTGTTTGTGGAACAATGGTTTGAGGCAATGTGCATAGCAACTTGATTATAACACCAAAATTTCATGGGTAGAGGATTCTCAAATCCAATCTCATTAATAGGCAATTCACCCTTAATAACTCTCAAGAAGTTTGAGCCACAGCTCGATATTCATACTCCACCCTCGACCTACTTATAACATTTTGTTTCTTGCTTTTCAAAAAAATCATACTTCCTCCAAGGAACACACAATGAGGTCGATTTAATATAGAGAGTCCTGCGCCCAATGACAGCTCTATCATCTAAAGTGAGTTTCACGTCCAGAACCATCAGAAGATCTGGTTCCCAACATGCCAACCCGAGAGAGGAGATTAATTGAGAGAGAAAAATTCTCTTTTGACTTTTGCTTACTTCAATTTCCACGAAATACTTAGGATGGCGTAAATCCTTATCTAGAATTTGGTTTGAAGGAAGCTCTTGAGTTCTGCAATGCCAAATTTGAATTTTCGATAAAACACAATTAACATAGCTAGCCAAAGTCCTGAACACTTCCCTTAACCTCCCAAATCAAGCCTGGGGAAATATTTCAATTTGTATAGGGATTGGTTGAGTCAACAAACTTTTGCGTTGCTCCCCCTCAGCAACAAAACTATACAGTTTCTTCATATAGATCATCATGGAGAAATATATTTTTAACAAGTTGGTGTAAAAGGCCAAAAGCAAATGATGAGATGCAGCCAACAAGATGAACAAAAAAACAGAAGCCAACTTAGCTTTAGGTGAGAAGGTTTCGGAGTAGTTAACACCATGTCTGAGCATAACCTTTGGCAACCATTCGAGGCTTGAAACTCGCAATCAATCCATTTGGATTCACTTTAAGGGTGCACACCTATTTACAACCGATGGCATTTTTACTGAATGGAAGAGGGACAAGGACCCATGTTTGGTTATGTTCTAAAGCTAGCATTTTCTCTTTCATGGCATGTAGCCACCCATAATGAGCCAGAGACTCAAAGATAGTTTTAGTAACCATGGTCCGTGACAACATCAAGAGATGTTTATAGTGTATAAAAGAAGCAATAGGATGACGAATGACTAGGTCTAAGGTCGAATCTTGGGACGTAGAGTGGGTGCAGCTGAAGAAGAGCCAGGTTAATCCTTAGGAGTGCGAACTCGACCCATTTTTTTTTTGAAAGAGGAGAAAAAAAAATATAATAAATGACTCGTGATACTGTATTAGAAGAACTTTAAAGAAGAGTTGTTTGGAATGTGCGTTAGGCTAATGGTACTGTGTAGTACAATATAATACGGAGGATAAAAATACCCTCTGCAATTTGCTTGCTTATTTTAGTGTTCTAGCATTTCGTGTCACTTCCTTTCAATATAAAACCAGTTTGAGGGTAATTTATTCCCTTCTCAGTCTAATTGTTTTTGACATTACTTATGCCATTCAATTCTTTCTCTGTTCTGTGTCTCTGAGTTTCTATTTCTGATTGGCATCTTTCTTTATTCTTTTTAGGTTTCTCCAGATGTTAAAGAAGTCTTGGATACGTTCCGAGTTTCTGCTGAGCTAGGGAGTGATTCGCTTGGAGCTTATGTGATCTCTATGGCCTCAAAGGTATGTTTAACTGCTATACTGTAACAAATTATGCATGGAAACTTTGTAACAGAAATAGTTTGTGCAAAATCAATATTTAGATGCCCAAACTCACCTGGCCTTTTGAAATTGAATAATTGCTTTGAGGTCTTCTACTATCATCAATGCCTTTATTTTCTTTTTCTTCTTCTTTTCTTCTTTTGTCATGGATTTGAACCCGGGAAATAACCTCCTTACAAATATGCAAAACTAAAGCTGCCTATAAGGATTCACCTCACCCCTACCCTCCTAGTCGGGGTTAAATGCGGAGTGGATTTTTTCTTTCTGGTCATGCATGAAAAGTCACTTTGCCCATATTTCGTACAGCTGATATTGATAAAATTAATTGTCTAATATCTTTTTGGAATTTTAACACTACAAGTCTACAACTGGGAAAGAAATCATATGATGACTAGGATGTAGTATTGTGTTTTAAGAAAGAAGTTCTTAGCATTGATACTGACAATTTTGGACTTTGCTTGACTGTCAGGCAAGTGATGTCCTTGCTGTAGAGCTTTTACAGAAGGATGCACGGCTTGCTGTTAGCGGGGAGTTGGGAAGAGCATGTCCTGGTGGAACGTAAGCATAGAACTGAAATGTTTTTATGTTAGTCAAGTGGGATTTATCGAAGTTTTCTTTGTACTTGTCTGATATCGAGGGTGCCTGAGATGAAAAAATTGTATCTTCATGTGTATATTATTCTTCTAGTGAAAACTCGGAATAAATGTGTGAATTATGCATATTATATGTTAGTTATAGACACGCATGAATGTAAATTTTCGATTATATTTGTGTTCTTGTCAAGTCCAAGAAGCTTAAGGTCAATTTTCTTGAGTGTTTGGAAGATGACTAGCAGGTATAAAATATAATTGGAAGAGTACTCTTGTTTTCCACTGATTGTTACTGGATCAAACATTACGAGTGCTGGGAGAAGAGAAAATTTTATGATAACTCTATGACATGTTTGTGTTGATTTGCTAGATAATTGGTCTAAAGATCCCCCTGGCACTGTGTTGCAATTCGGTTTGAATGTTTGAATTTTAATGACATTCATGTGTCCAACATAGGCTGCGGGTGGTTCCTCTATTTGAAACTGTGAAGGACCTGAGAGGAGCTGGTTCAGTTATCAGAAAACTTTTATCAATAGATTGGTACCGCCAACACATCATTAAAAACCATAATGGGCATCAAGAGGTACTTTTAATTAGAGATTCATTTCAGTTATGCTATAGCTAATAGCTATTATGGGGAGTTTCATGTGGTAGTATAATAAACTTCTATATGCAGGTTATGGTTGGGTATTCTGATTCTGGTAAAGATGCTGGGCGTTTTACTGCTGCTTGGGAACTTTACAAAGCTCAGGAGGATGTTGTGGCTGCTTGCAATGAGTATGCTATTAAGGTTACTCTGTTTCATGGCCGTGGAGGGAGTATTGGTCGTGGCGGTGGCCCAACTTATCTTGCTATTCAGTCTCAACCACCTGGATCTGTGATGGTGGGTTATGCATCTTAACCTTTATTGTTTAAGTAACCTTAAAAATCTGATTTAAGTCCCATATTCCTTTTAAAACATTTAGCTGTTTGAAACTATTAGTATGAATCATAGTTTTGTTAAATTTTTAGCACATTGCTATAATACACGTTACACTCTTGAGGGTCTGGGGTGTTAGTTGATTCAAGGACCTCCCTTCTGACGGGTCATATGGATGTAGTGTAGTATAAAACCTGGACTTTCGGACTGCTGGTAGGGTAAATGTTAACTTAGAAACTTATCATGCATTATTGGTTTCTTTTGCTCAAATTGTGAAGAGTTGTTGACTTTTAAGGGTCATGAACCATGAAATTGTCTAGATTGAATTTTGGTTGACAGTCAGTAAGCCAACAATTCTTGAGGCTAGAAGGGTATCTGAAATTTATAATTTGCTTGAAAGTCAAGTTATACGTTTATTTAACTTTGAACTAGAATTTAGATCATCTTCCCATTTAATCTTCAGGAGTCAGTTCTGCTTTTGATAAGCTGTTATCTTCATAAACATTTGAAAGCGCAATTCCACTTCACCCCCTAAACTGCACCCATTACTAGCAATGCTCTAAAATCAACAACTATTCTCTGATGTGTTACATATTGCAGGGAACCCTGCGGTCAACAGAGCAGGGAGAGATGGTACAGGCAAAGTTTGGGTTGCCACAGACAGCTGTTAGACAGCTTGAAATATATACAACAGCTGTGCTGCTTGCTACCCTTCGTCCACCTCTCCCACCTAGAGAAGAAAAATGGCGTAATCTCATGGAAGATATTTCAAAAATCAGTTGCCAGTGTTACCGCAGTGTAGTATATGAAAATCCAGAATTCCTAACCTACTTCCATGAAGCCACACCTGAAGCAGAGCTTGGCTACCTTAACATAGGTAGCCGCCCCACAAGAAGAAAGAGCTCAACAGGAATTGGACATCTTCGTGCCATACCTTGGGTGTTTGCATGGACCCAAACCAGATTTGTTCTTCCAGCTTGGCTTGGAGTTGGAGCAGGTTTAAAAGGTGCTTGTGAGAAAGGACACGCTGAGGATCTAAAAGCCATGTACAAAGAGTGGCCTTTCTTTCAAAGTACAATAGACCTTATTGAGATGGTTTTGGGAAAAGCAGATATTCCTATTGCTAAGCACTATGATGAAGTTCTTGTGTCAGAGAAGAGACAAGAACTTGGTCGTCAACTAAGAAGTGAGCTCATAACAACTGGAAAATTCGTACTAGTGATTAGTGGACATGAGAAACTTCAGCAGAATAATAGAAGCTTAAGGAGGCTGATTGAGAATAGTCTTCCCTTTCTCAATCCCATGAACATTTTGCAGGTGGAGATACTTAAGAGGTTAAGATGTGATGATGACAACCATAAAGCCAGAGATGCTTTGCTTATCACCGTTAATGGTATTGCTGCTGGAATGAGGAATACAGGTTAACTTCTCAATAACTATAATTTTCACCCATTCTGGAATTTAACATGTTCACCTCCGATTTCCCGATATTATGCTAATGAAAGATTAATGTAGCCATAACCATGAATGTGTTGTTTTATACTTTGACGAGATGGATATTATTTCAAAATATTATGTAAATCTGTTTTTATTGGATTTTTGTTTGCTTCTTACTGGATGCCTATTCTTAGTTTTTCTTTCTTTCTTTCTTATTTGGGTAGACAAATGTGAATTTGTGTGGAGAATCAAATGAAAATTGCATCAAGGCCAAAGCGTATTCTAAGTGATTACTCCTAATTTATTTTCTGCAATCCAAATTTTCCACAGCCTTTTAGTCCTCAAAAAATAAAATTGGCACCTCTTTATGCTTTCGCACGTCATATCTATTCAAAGCTTTATTTCTCCGAGTTTCTGTACTCGACCTTGTTAATTATCTTTGGTCATTGATATGATAATCGACTAGTGGCTGTAGCAACAATGTCAATGTTCATTAACTGAAGTTATTTTTCCTTTGTTTTCTTTTCTCTGAGTTTCTTTGACCAGAGAAATTATAATGAACATTGCCATTTGCACAATACTTGCACTAATAAATGTACAGTGTACATAACATTAGAAGTGGCTCCTTAACAAACTCAAGAGTCTTGAAATTATATGGATTTGGATCTCTACCAGAGAAGTAAATTTTGGCCGAAAAAGATGTTTTTTTAAATACTTATCCCTCGAGTATCTAAATACCAGTTGAATACAGTTCATATGGTAATGTAAGAGTCCATTTCTGTAAGATCTAAAAAATTCGATGGTAAAAATATTGTGGAAAAAGTTACTTCAAAATTTGGAGTTAAGTTTGGTAGTGTAGAGTTAAATTAATAAAAGAAAAAAATGGAGTTAAGTTAGATGGTGTAAATGCAAACAAAAATTATTTGAGTTATACTTTTTAAAATTTGAACAAACCAATTTTTTTTTGGTGAATTGAACAAACCATTTAGCCCTCCAAAGATTAAGGTGTCCCTATATTAGTTCTTTAAAAAATTTGTTTACCAAATTAGTCTTTCAAATATTAAAGTCTCAAAGATTTTTTTTCACTAAAGCAGTAAAAGATAAAAAATGTCACCAAATTCTTCCAAATATAGACGACTAAAGTGATGACAGGAATTATGTAAAAAATCTTTAAAAGACTAACATGATAACATTAATCTTAGAAAGATTAATTTAATGATAAAAATCTTTAAATGAATAGAGCGATACCATTCAAATATTTGTATGATGAAATTGAGGTTTTATGCTTAATTTTTTTTATAACATTGATTAATTAAAAAATCGTTGAGGCCTATCCCTCTCAAGTTGGGTGAATACCACATCCCCTTATTCACATGCTTACAAGATAACATTTATGGATATTGTTTGTCTCCTGAATCCTACTACTATCTCACCACTGTCCACGCACATCTATTGCATAATGCTTCAAGTTGGGTGAACATCCAACAGTATGATTTAACAACCTAGTCGTAATTAGGGACGTAAATGGATTAGGCCGGCTTACAAGGACCTACGGCCTAACCTATATTAGGCTAAACTTGAACTATTAGAAATAGTGAAATAGAACAGACCTAGGCTTTTAAAAAAATCTATTTAGAAAATAGGCCATAGGCTTTTTTATACATGTTGCCCTATAAGCCTACAGACCGGCCTATATCATATTATTTATTTTAAATAAAGTTATCATTTTAATAATTTTGAATAATAAAGTAATATTATTTTAGTTATTCTTTTAATTGTTGAATGTTTAATATGCTTAAACAGACTAATAGGTTTAGGCTAAGGATTTTATTTTTTAAATATAGATCAGGGCAGACCAAATATTTTTTACACATACTTGGCCTATTTAAGTCAAAACCTAGCCTATTTACATCCCTAGTCGTAATCTATAAACTATCAAACCAACAAGAACTCAAAAGATACAACAAAGGGCATGTTTGGTGCACAGAATAGGATAAGGCATGATAGTGTAAAATCTGATAGTATAAGGCCTGATTATATAAGACCTGATTAAATTTAATACTATCCAGTATTTGACATAATATTGTACAAGATAATGTCATCAAGTGTTTGGTAATGCATTGTATAATACTAAATAAGATAAAAATACTCTCTAATAAAATTTTTATATAATTCTTCAAAATATGTCATATGATATTAATTTTTATAAAAATCCATTGATCAGTGTGTCCAAAAATATATTAATTTTTATAAAAATAAAAATCTCCAAAATTTAGAATTAATATATTGAAAAATTAATTTTTATTTTAATGTATTGATATTAAATAATATATTAATTCTTGAGAATTGCACTGGTCAATGATGTTAATACATTAACCCCTTACCAGGCCTAATCTCACTCCCTTATGCCGTATTAAGTTATACGTTATTTTGATGTATTAAGGGATTTTGTTGTATAAGCTTATACTATACGATGGTCATATTAAACAACTATCAAGTTTTATACATCACATCAAACAGATTGTATCTTCATGGATGATCCAAGCTAAAATGCACCCATTAGGGAAAGGATGGTAGAAAAAGAAAAGTCTTTTATAGAATTTTGATCATAAAAAAGAAGAAGAAAAGTCTTTTATAGAATTTTGATCATAAAAAAGAAGCATAAAAAAGAAGAAGAAAAGTCTTTTATAGAATTTTGATCATAAAAAAGAAGAAGAAAGACTTTAGCCAAATTTGACAAATAAAGATTTATACGACATAATAGTGGCAATAGATTTTTTTTTATTATTAAATCCAATCCTAAAAGGGGATGAATTGGAGCAGTGATAAAACTGTTCTTTTATGACTGAAAGGTCATGGTTTCGAATTCAGGAAACAGTCTCTTTGCAATTATGCAAGAATAAGGCTGCGTACAAAGATTTTCTCCACCCCACACTCGGTAGTCGGGTTTAATGGAGAGTGGTTTTTATTAAATCTAATCATGTAAGCCTCTTACTAAGAAGAACAAGCGCTTTGATAACAAAAGATTAAATCGGATTAAATCCAATCCGATTTAATCCGATTCCAGTTGGATTCATATTGGAAGCAACTTTAATCATCTTACTAACAAGAACAAGCTCTTTGATAACAAAAAATTTCATTCTAACATGGGTTTGACTGGTGGAAGTTTTCCCACTAACATTTAGTTCAATATTTCCTTAAAATGGAGAATTTTTACAATACAAGTAGTCTTTTAGCATATGGCCCAATTCGTTTAGTTATCCTTCTCAGCCCAATGGCCCAAAGTTCACAAGCTTGTGACCTAATGTTTCTAGTCTTCAAGCGGAAGCAACAAATTTTAGGTTCAACAAAATTATTTCGTACTAATTAAAATTTTAGATCTGAATAAAATTTTCGGTCAGTAGAATGAATTCGTATTTTATATAGAACACCCTTAAATTTTTGGCAAAAGTGTTTTTGCCTTTGCGGTAGAAAAAATTTATCTGTTGCAGACATATTTTTTTCAGAATCCGTCGACGGATCCTGGTGAATATATGTCTGTGACAGATAATTTTGTCTGTTGCTGTAAACCGAGCTACCCTTTATTTATAGATATATTTTTTGATTTAAATAAATTAGTTTATACATTATTTTCCATAAAATTTTACTTAATTCCCCAATAGTTAAAAAAGGTATATGCAATAGGATCCTTCCTTAAATCTTGCCTAGTTTTGAGGACAAGCTTTTTTATTTTTTTTTAGAGTAAAGACCCAAATTGGTCCCTGACAAAAAACTCGGTGCCCAAATTAGTCCCTCACAAAAATAAACTCGTTAGATAGTCCCCAACAAAGTGAAACAGGACCCACATTAGTCCTTCTGTCAATCTAAAACTCACGGTGTCAATCACGGTGATGACATGTCACGTTAAGTGACATGCTGAAGGCCACGTGGGTTGAGGAACGATGTCGTTTTGAGAGACTCATCCACGTTGGTCAGTATGATCCTTAACAATTTTAACAAAGGGGACCAGTATGGCCCCTAACATTTTTATTGGGGTTCTTTTTAGTCCCTGCTAAAGTTCTGTTAATACCAGTGCCACCATTTGCTATTAACACATCAACAATGTCATTTCCCCTCGTACATGCTGATATTAGTCATGCATAACACAATCAACTTCTGCATAATTCACACCATGACATTCTTAGTTTAGTTTTTATACATTGTTTCCATTCCTTTTTTTATCTCCATTGAGTTTATACAACATTTTGTGCCAATAAACATAACTTCAAATACATAAGTCATGCTACATACATTGCATGAACAACAATTCATTACACTAGCAAATCTCAACAGAACCACATTTTAAATTTCACTCCAGCCTACTTGTAAGATATATACATACTAGAAACACAACAATAATGGATCCAGCAAACACCCTAGCACACATACACACATGCATCATTTCCTTCTCAACCCTTTCAAAGTCTGCCTGCATCTTCAATCTATATACAGTGCTCATTAATCTTTTTTTGTGGTCATTCACCTCTAGCTGCAGTTCATCATTGAGCTTCATGTCCAAAAAGTTCAACTTGAACTCCATTTCAGCTACATTCAACTCCAGCTTGTTAATTGTCCAATCTTTCAGCTCCATGGTATCAGATGTAGCATCACTGTGTATGTAAAAAATTTACAAGGTGGCTTCTTTTCCAAAACCAAATTCAACTATACAGTTAATAACATTGACATTACAAAAATAACGCATGAAGCCACATGAAAAAATCAACCTCCAAGAAACTTAAAAACCCTAATAGATCATTTTTTGGGTGCCCCAACTTCAAGGTGAGGTTGATTTTTTTCATGCGTTATATGTAGAATGACTTATGTATTTGAAGTTATGTGTGTATATGTGTGCATGTGTTGAGAAGGAAATGATGCATGTGTGTATATGTGTATGTGTGCTAGGGTGTTTGCGGGTGTGTATGGGTGTTTGCTAGGGTGTTCAGAAGGAA